GAGAACCCCATCTCCAAGTCTTGTAAAAAGTCATTTTCTACCCCCCACGCTCAATTCCAGCTACCATGTGTAATCTCCTCCCATAGCGTCACAAACCCCTTTCTTCTCCGGCCCCCTATCCCCCCCAAAAAACACTAAAGAAAAATAATCAGAGACAGAAAAGTACCCCATTGCAGCAGTGGCTCCACTTTGTAGATCTCGCCTCCTGCAATTTATCAAACCATTTTCTCAGGCCAGTCAAAATTCATTTTTACACAACACCCCTCTCTCAAAAGTCCTGCCCATCAAACCAGTATTGGTAACTGATGGTTGTCTTGCACACACAAAGGAAGCAATAATTGACTGGGGAAGGGGGAAAAAAGATATCTTCTGAAGGTGGAACACAAGAGTTTCCAGACAGAAGCATATTCAGACCAGTCACAACTTTGGTCTGGTTACTTTGTCAGCTTTCCTGCTGACCTCTCCTTATTAACAATAAGGACGACTCACCTTCTGCAAGACATCCTGTACCACAGTGGACTTCTCCTTCAGCAGCTCCACCACAGAGAGGGCCTCCTCTTCAGTAAAGATCATGCTTTTCATAGCCAGGAGAAAGTCTTTGAATTTGACTTCAGCATTTTCTATAATTAAAATGGGAATGCTGTTTACGCAGCAGCAGTGCACAGTGGATTACACAGCCCTAAAGTGACATTAGGAGGGGTGTCAGGTGTGTTGCATCTAATGCGTTTGAAACAGCAAATAGCACAGTCAGAAGTATTCCATGAAACCTATTAAATCTAAATTTGGCAATAGTCTGGTCAGCTGACACCTAGGAACATACTTCTAGTCAAAGGTATCTATAACTACATGTGTCAGGTGTCCAGGTTGTAGCCGTACTGGTCTAGAGGAACAGGCAATCAGGACTCGTAGTGGAGATGGTATCTTCTTAGACCAACAAGACTTTTGCAAAAAAATTTTTTTGCAAAAATCTTGTCGGTCTAATAATAGATATAATCTCTACTACGAGTCCTGATTGCCTCTGTAACTACATATATTTTATGATGTGCAAAGAAAAGTTACCAGCAACAAACCAAGGTTAGCCACGGGGCTGGAAAAGACAACACATAACTATGGGAGCATGTTATAAGACAGAGGTGCTAATTTGTTCTTCCAGTGTAAAGGGAAATCAGCACAGTTTCATGAACTATATGCAAGTAATTAAGGATCCCAAACAAGTCATATGATTCTGCACATGGCAGAGGAAACTTCGGACAATGCTGAAACAGTTTCAAAGTGTGAATTGACAAGAATTGAACTGAGGAGGTTTAGAAACAGATTAGATATGGACAGAGAACAGTAAAGTACAACCCCATTAGAATATTTGTTATTTGAATGCCCAGAAAACATACAATATGCTGACAGTATGAACTTCATTTTTATTTTTCAAAAAATCACCATAAATTTCTAGCGTGTCTAATACTAGTCTGTAAAAAAACACTTACAGAGACAATAGTCAAAACCAGCTAGTGCTAATTAACTCAAGGAAAGCAGCATGAAGAATGGTAAGAGATACAGACACATTGCCAACCCAGAGTATTTAAAATCTGACACGGATAAAAGGGTTGCAAACTAACCCCCAAATCCCCAAACCATTCCTAAACTAGTAGCCCAAATGAAGCGCAGCTGGGAAACAAAATTAATTTTTACCAGCACTTGAGAGAAATTACCTAGCAAGGGAACAAAACAAAGAATAATCTTGGTAAAACAGACCAGAGAAAGATATTCAGCAATTGTAGCTGACTAATCTGGTCTATTCATCAGATAACTCCATTAGTAATGGTCTCAATCTAGCTACTGCTTGAGAGGAAGGCTTGTGGTCAGGGTTAATATGGAGCAAAACTCAAATCTGACTGGCAGGAGTCAAGTAGGTTTTGATTTTACAGGAAGAGAAGAACTTGGCTCAAAATAACGTGCTCGCTACATCACAAATGCAGGAAAACCTTGTCCCTGAACCCAGCAGCTTACAACTAAAAGAGTAAAATGTTTCACAATTAGGTGAACAAGTGCAGATCATACAGGAGAATTAACCACATTTGAATTACTTCTGCTTGGAAAGGATTACAGACGAATGAACAACAAGGAATAGATGCGACAAAGGCTTTCAGCCTCAGGTATCACACAGCCTTCTGAACCTGAAGCATAAATTAAAAGAAGAAAGCTGAGTAATGCTATAGTTCAGGGATTCCATCAGTTTTATACTGAAAGATTTACCAAGTAGAGAAGCTGATGTGCCATGCAGCGTATTGTCTAATGACTGTGACCTATACAAATTGGACGATTGGGCCAAAACGAAATCTCGTGAGGGACAAGTGCAAAGTCCTGCACTTAGGACAGAAGAATCCCATGCACCAGTAACAGGCTGGGGACCAACTGGCTAAGCAGCAGCTCTGCAGAACAGGACCTGGGGGTTACAGTGGACAATAAGATGAATATAAGTCAACAGTGCCTGTTGCCAAGAAGGCTAACAGCATACTGGGCTACATTAATAGGTGCATAGCCCGAAGATTGTTGGAAGTAATTATTCCCCTCTATTCTGCACTGGTGAGGCCACATCTGGAGTCCTATGTCCAGTTTTGGGCCTCCCACTACAGAAAAATCATAGACAAGTTGTAGAGAGTCCAGTGGAGGGCAACGAAAATAGTTCACGGGCTGGGGCACATGACCTATGAGTAGAGGCTGAGGGAACTGGGCTTATTTAGTTTGGAGAAGAAAAGACTAAGAGGGGATTTAATAGCATCCTTCAGCCTGGAGAGGGGTTCAAAAGAGGCTACAGTTGGACTGTTCTCAGTGGTGAGAAATGACAGAACAAGAAACAATGGTCTCAAGTTGCAGCAAGGGAACTTTAGGTTGGACATTAGGAAAAGCTCTCTAATGAGGGTGGTGGTGAAGCATTGGAATAGGTTACCTAGAGAGATAGCGGGGTCTGCATCCTTGGAGGTTTAAGACCCGGCTAGACAAAGCTTTGGCTGGGATGATCTAGTTGGGAATGGTCCTGCCTTGAGCAGGGGGTTGAACTAGATGTGACCTCCCAAGGCCCCTTCCAGCCCTCATTTTCTATGATCATCTGAACAGGAAATTAGGATAAGGAGTCATCAACTCAGCCTAGGACTCCTAGACATCCCTCTTTTTGCAGGCAACATTAGAAGGTCACTTTTTAGGGCACAGCTGGTCTGGCCACTTCTTTGGACCCCCATATCCTCTGAGCAAATCACCAGATGGTTTACATATGGGGTGAAGAGCAGTATTCACAAATCCCTCTCTGGGCCCAAGCTACTGAGATCTCTTTGTTTTGTGACCTTTTTCAACTGCAACTATCAGAACATGGGCTTTGCTGGCCCCTCCCCAGACTGCCTGTCTCCAAAATTAAGCCATTTATGATGTGTCTATGTAGTAACTGGAAGAGTAATTAATCCACGTGAGCCTAGCCATAGGAGCAATGAGGCCATGCCAGCACAGACCTCAGCACAGGATGTACCTGGGGCTCCAGGGCAGTCTTGTAGGCCTGGTCACCACAGGCTCACTGCTCCTTGTTCCTCAGCTAGCAGATTAAAGCCAGTTAAGGCACTCCTACAATCACAGCTTTAAAAATTACCACAGACGTTCCAGATCCCAACAATACAGAGCAATTATAATTAGCAAGTAGCACATTGCAAGCAACATCCTACTTTCATACTCTCCATCACTCTCAGTTGTGAATGCTGTAAATGTCCTGTGGCCATGAGCAATCCCTGAGGGTTTCCCAAACCACAGATCAAGGGCCACTGTAGGACAGAGTAACCACACAGACATCCAGGGCATGTTGGCCTTATGACTGGACTGTTAAGGACAGCAGGAGTAGGAAAGGGAGCAGGTTCTCCCTTAAGCTTTCTTTGTGGAGGAACAAAGGACCTCAGCATGCAGTTGAGTCAATAAAGGAACTGCCTCTTACTGTTTAAAAGGATGAGAAAAGAGATAAGTATAAAAGCAGCTCCCTGCAGTCACAAAGATATCCCAAAACATGGCCCATTCCTTAAGGGGGAAGAAAAAAAAAAAGGATTTGGGGGTTTTCTCTCCCCAGGATTATGAGGCTCAGTGTCTGATTTTCAAAAGAAGAATCCCACTCTGTTTGGAGAACGTCACTAAGGTGAGTTATCTTTTAGTCCCTTTTGCTCAGATTTCCACCTAATGAAAGCTGATCAGGCCATCGTTTTGTTAGCTTACCTTTATCTGTTTCATTTTTCAGTTTCTTAGTACTGCTTTTTTGGAGCCCCTCATTGATATCCTGTTTCGCCAAATCAGCCACTTCTCTTTTCTCCACCAAAGGGTTCAGCTCAGAGTTATCCATCAAAGGAATATAAGTAGTTGCTTGAATAAGAGGTTCCTCCACCAAAGCTGTAACTAGAGTTCCACAGTACAGGTCAATGCTTTTTAATAGTAGTTTGTTACAACCTTAAACATACTAGAGAGCTGGCTGCAAAGACACAGATTTGGTCCACTTGATAAACCTGAACAGCTAGAATTACTGATATTATGCAGCACTGGTTAACTCAAAGTTTTTTCAAGTAGCTCATTAAAAAGTATCTTTAATGCATACTGAAGTAATAGCTTAATTAAACTTACATTTGTCAAGATTGCATTTTAGCTCTTGAACAGATAAATTCTGACTTTCATTTCACTTCAATAAGAGTCGCATGTAACCTTTGTGAGGCTTGTGGCTGCTGCAGCCATTTCCAACATGGAGCACTCAGTGTTACTGAAGTTTAAAATGAAGAATTTCCTACATCTGGAAGAGGTGTAAAATGCTCAGGACCAGGGATCCTGGTTTTCTCCATTTAAAAGTTGCGAATTCTCTGACGAAAACCCTCCTGCAACTTCTCCGATTAAAACCCCCAATCACGATTTCACTTTAATCATGTTTTTCTGTGATTAATATGAAACACCACTGTATAAATAGGTATCAGTTAAACACAATGTTTTACTGATATGTTTTACAATTTTAAAGCAATTTGGAAGCCAGTGCCTCAATCACCACAATAAAATACATTCTAAATACCTATATATTTTGGCATTTGATTTTTTTTTATTGTGGAGAATCAGAGCTCCCCCTGTCACCTTCACTCACCAGACTGTGGGTCCAGCTGTGGCTGTCCCCTCACTGCTTTGTGGCACCAAGCAGCCCTGATATGCCAGTGTCCTGCACCTGCCCAGGCCATTGTCCCTCACTCCCGACCTACAGCCCCCTGGCTCTTCCCAGCCCTGCTGGTACCTCTCACTTCCAACCCACAGGCTCCTGCCCACCATCCCCCCAGCCTTGCTGATGCCTGCCTTGGAGGCCATGCCTCACTTCTCCACCTGCTCCAACCCCACTGATGCTGGGAAGAGAGGAAAACTTGCCTTCGCAAGGGCAGGGTCCTCATTGCCAGCCAACTCTGAGGACCATGCAGGCAGCAGTGTTATTCATTGTTGCCCCGGCCACTCACATGGGCAGGGGCTGCTGGGAAAGGGAGTTTGGCCATGGGCCGGAGCCACCATTTTGCCCACCCCTGCTTTAAAGGAACTCCACAAGCAGGCAGAGACTGAGTCTGTTTAAAATTTACTGTACTGGAACATCAAGGAGCCCTATTCTTGGACGAGGACTTCCCCTATGCGGGGTTTCTCCTGAACACTGAGCCAAGGAAGTGGACAAAGCCCGCCAAAAGCTTACAATCCAAGGATGAAATGAGATGAACAAACAAGTCTTCAAAAGAAAACAATAAGGAGTCTCAGGGTGCTGCAGCCTAGCAACGTGTTATCACAGCAAAGGAGAGATTTTAAGGAAAGGAACAAATCAGCTTTAAAGAGGTTTATGGGGAAAACTCCCACATGCAAGGGAAAGCCTGAGAAAAGTATAAAGGGGTTAATTCGAAAGAGTTAACAAGTGAGTGACATGCTAGCATCACAGGATGCTCAAAGCAGGAGTTGCTATCTTAATAGAGATGAAAATGACAGGTAGGGAAGAAAAGGCTGTAAATGGCTTGAAAGACAAGTAGCTTCTGTTTAATGAGGCAGGAGGAACAGGTGGGGGGGATACAGAGATGACACCACCAAAACGAAAAGCCCAAGAAGTATCCATTCACAAAGCTGCTGCAAACACAAGTGGAACAAAACAACCCAGGATAAAGGATGTTCCAGTAATCAAAACAAAGTGAGCAGACCCTGGACAAGTTGACTGTCGGCTTACACATTAATGCAGAAGGTTTATTATCCCTCAAGTACTATCCTCAACGTACCTGTGGATGTTCTCATCCACGTAAAGTTCTTAATTGAATCCCACTAAACCTTGAGCTTCAATGTCATCTTGCAGGAATGAGTACTACCAGTCTGTGTAAAACCAACCTTCGTTTCTTATAAAAATTTTAAACATTACTCTTCAGTTTTGCTCTATGTTCATTTGCCCTTTTATTCTCAGAATATCTGATTAGCCAGTCAAAGGTAACTGAAATCAGTGTAGCAATTTCTGTCTAAAGCTAGATCTCCCATGTCAAAAGAATTTTTTTTTTTTTTTTTTTTTTTTTTAAAGAAAATTTAATTAAGTGTTCTTTATCATATGAAAATCCCACTTCTGGATTAGAAAAGCAAACGCTCCCAAAAATCCTACTTTCTTCAGGGAAGAAAAACTGCATGTAATAATCAAGTTGATCCTACATATATAAAATTCTATTAGAGGTGTTTGTAAGAAAGAGACTATAGCATTTGCTCACCATTATCAACCTTTTGTTTCTTTGTGGAAACTTTTTTTTTTCCAGATGCACTTTCTTGTTTGATCTCCTGATGAAACGCCGCTGGGTCTTGTTTTTTGCCAAGAGAGGCAAATAAATCGTTCTTTGCATCCTGGTCATCTAAAAGAGAAATTAGACAATATACTCTTCTATATGTACTAATAGGTACTGTATAAAAACAGTGAAATTGCAATAGCCAAACAGTGAAATTGCAATAGCCAGTAAAGTCATTTCAAGGCAAAGGATAGTCTTGATTGGGTTTTACACAGAATAGACAGGGTTTCATTTTTGTGCTGTACACATGTATGCGTGCATGCATACATACACATACAGCTAAAGATCATAAAGAACTGTAGCAAACAGCAGAAACAATGCCAGTAAACCTGAACATTTTCACGGAATTATATATGCAAGCAGAAAAGCACTGAAGCCAAGACGACTAGGTGACAAAAAGGCAACCGTCACTCACTAGATTTAATGAATCCAATCACGATTTGCTGTGACAAGAAAAAAAAAAAAAAAAAAAAAAACCAAACAAACCAAAACCCTAACCCAAAGAATTCCTTATTTTGAGCAATAATGTGTGTCCTCCATAAATTAAAAATACCAGGTTTGGGAGAAGTAGCAAATAAAAGGCCCCCTATTTTGGAAGCATTTCTTTTAAATTTGCTTTTCGCAGCAACAGGTTGGGGGGGGGGGGGG